CTTTCAATTAGCCTGTAAGTAATGACAACTAGGCGAAAAAGTGTTACACTGGCCCTACGTCAACAACAGCTTTTGGAATCTGTTTAAATCGAAAGCCCGTCTCCAAAAAGAGCGACTTATTCGTGATGTGATTTTGTATTCATCGAGTAAAGTCGTCCCATCTGAAAAAGAACAAACGACAGTGAACAACCATTTTCTAAGCTTGTCCAGAAATATCAAAGTTGTGGGTCAATGATGGACTGAGTTCTACAAATTTGTTCTTGTAATCTTAACCTGAGCAAGTACCGCAGTGCCAGTTGATGTTATCCGTTGGATGAACGGAACCACAAGTGAGAGGAGGAAAGGGCTTCACCGCGGAGTTGCTTATTAGAGAACACCAAATAAACAATTATAGAATTTGGGACAGGAAAGCAAATCTCTAATATGCATCTTGTTTTTAAAAAATCGAATATGCGTTTTCTTCCTGAACACGTTTTCTTGAACTTTCCTGGATAATTTTATAAAGAAAACTACTCACAAGGTTGCTGAAAACTCTTCTACAGCCCACGACCGGTTTCGCCCTTCCTGGGGGCTCATCAGGTAGGCGCAGTCCCCGAGTTTTCGTCAACCTTATGATCTAATTAAACCTAAATTGTCGAAGAGTTTCCAGAAACCTTATGACTGGTTTCCTTTATGAAAATATACTGCGATATCTCGAATATCGTGCCAACTGAATCATCAGCTGGAGGACATCATAAACGAGAGATTCATTTGAGTCTCCCGTGAAAACCAAATTGATTTCCTGGATATTCATTGACTATCATGCAGTTGTAAATGAATGCTGCAAATGAGTTCCGCAAACTCCGTGATAAATCCCGCCTTTCATTAGATCTAGGCGGAGTTACAAGAAAATCACCACATGCCCCATCAGTAGTATCCACCGTTACACGAAAAAATGGTATATTTAGAACACGGTTGAGACAGTACCCAAATTTGGGCCAAGTGAACACGTCCACTAACAGCTATCGGTTAGCACGTAACCACCATAACGTTAGTGAGTGTGAACAATAGAGTCGCCATTCTCAGTTCAGAGGATTTTGTAACGCGATGCCAGTCAGAAAGCGAGTACTTGCGCTACACGAAGAAAACCCGTGAAGCGAAACCGGGAAATATCACGGAAAAACGTACACAGAGCGAATTTCTCCGGTGTAACGTTGCTTTCTCGGGATTGTTTCGCAGAAGAAACGACACTCAGTGACTTGTAATGTTTTATATGGAAGCAACTAGAAAATTACCTTCTTACCTTTGTTAACCAGACGGAAAAATGAGACACAATGTTTTGGACTCCATAATGTAACCTTTCCACACCTACCACTGTCACGTATGAGTGTTTTTCTAGATTATTGGAACGAATCGCCTACGGATCGAAACAGAATGGTTTGCGAAAAGTGTGGCTTGCGACACATGTGTGCTCGCAATGCACTACTCATAAATTTACTGAAAACTCGTCGTCAGCCCTCGACGGCTTTCGCCTTTTTTGGGGCTCATCGGCTAGGTGCGGTCCCCGGGTTTCCGTCAACCTTATGTTCTACTTGAAACCAAACTGTACGAAATTAGCGAAATACACTCACCTGCAAATAAATTTGGTTTTACGAGAGGCTCACCTGGAATGCAACTGAATCTCACGCTTACGATGTCTTTAAGTGTTTCGGATAATGTCTTTGGGTAATCAATGTCTTACAGCCTGCGACTGAAACATGAGGTGCCCCGGTGCAGCACATTTAGTTGCCTGGAGGCATCATAAGCGGGAGATTCAGCTGAGTTCCAGGTTAGTCTCTTGCAAAACCAAATCTATTTGCAAATGAGTGTATTTCTCTGGGTTGCGAGCTTTGTAAAGCCCGACTATGTGTGAGCTGCGTCTGCGCATGGGTGTTGAATCACTAGAGATTTTGTAAAGAATGAAGCGTCCTATTGTTGCTTGACAAAATCTGCAAAAGTAACCACCGACAACAATGAGTACGTAGTAGACAATTTTTGGCACCAGCTTCCAAACAACACAGTTTGGCGCGCAGACGTTCTGGCGAGATTTAGTGAGTGTAATAGGGAAGTAATATGTGTGGGAACAAGCTAGTGGACAAAGAAAACAGTGTCGACACTTGAACTTTTGAACTGAAATGTCCACACACTAAGTAAAAGCAACCCTGAGGTGAGGTGCGTGCTTGTGACTGACTCAACGATTGGATGCACTTGGATATATACATAAAAAGTAAACAGCAAGTAGTGCCGAACGCAGTCATACTGCGGGAACCATCCAAATCAATCACGATTATTAGAATGTGAATTGAAATACTTCCAATAAACTCTTATTTGCTCCGAATCCACAAAGAAATCTTAGCTGAGCTGAACTGGTAGATTAGAAAGAGACAAGAAGAAACACTATGTAAAAAATATGAAAAGTAAATATATCCTACAAAATCACTTGCCTTTCAATCCCACCAAATCAAAATGGCTTAACAAGAGCACAGTAAAAATCCCTTATTCAATTTGCTTTTACTGCTTGCTAGAACACAGCGAAGCCGACATAATTCCATCTCGATCCATTGCGTTTTATGTGGTCATCGATACCATGAACGTGTCGCAACTCAGCGGTCCCATACTGATAGAACGTTTAAAAAGTTCAAGGGAAGTTCTAGGGTTTAAAGCGTGGCGATTATCACGGCTGAGAATCTTTATGGTTCACAAACTGTCCCTCGCGCAGTAATTTCAAATTCTCCTCAGAACCCTCTCCCGGCTACAATTCTGTTTACATTCCAAATCTACCGGATGTATTACTATGACAACCGTTTGGGAAGAACAAGCTGGTTCACTTCAAAACAGTCTACCTTACCAACAGCACTGTTTACAAAGAAACCTGGTCATACAAATCCCATCGATCACTGTTTTGCGCGCGCAACTATTTACCGTTTGGACGGACAATTTCACACACAAACCCTGCTGGGCAGTCCGCATTTTGATTTTGCCTTCAGTTGATAAACTGGGATGTCGGTGACGAATTGTGGAACAATTGCATCAAAAATAGGATTTAACCGCCTTGATTCATCAACCACAGGCTCAGCCTAATTGCAAAAAGCTTGTGTGGAATTTTCTTCATTCACGCTATAATCTGTTTTTTGAACAAACTGAATTCCTATTGCGAGACTAATGGAGGGCGCATGTACTCAAGGAAGCTTGTAGGAGGGAATGGTTTTAACAAAGGCGTTGCAGTGGAGGTAATTAATAATCATCAAAGACGGCAACATCAGTGTTGGCACTGGTGCCTTACTGCCGTCACTATTTCGTCTGTAGCACCCTTTCGGTGCCTAACTGCCATGCCAGAAGGAAGCACGATGGATGGAATACTGTCAGGCTGCTCAAGCCTAGACAAGGGAAGTCGAACTATGGACCTTTCGGTTAGTTATTTCGCGCTTTACCACTGATCCATCTCGCTCCAGTTATAAATTAAGACTTTGCACTTTGAAGGTGCTTGATACATGCCGAAAGATGGTATAATGATGGTCAGTTTCTTAACGCCGCTACCTTGCGGTTAGGCTTTTGAGCCAAAGGCTTTGGTTGAGAAAATTAATCGTCCTCCTGTCTAGGTGTGGCCGCCCTGGCAGTATCCCAGCCCTCGTACAACCATGACATACACAACTAACAAAATGCTCATGCCACATCGGCCGTCGCGTGGTGCCATCAGCCGGGTCGCCTTACTTGCTGCATACAACAGAGCGGGTAAGCGAAATCACGCTAGTGCTGACGCCCCCTTCTTACATTTTCACGCTTTCTGTCTTCCACCTTCCATCGCCCAAATCTGACTACTTTCTCCGCAGGTCCTAGCTCTAGGACTGACCGTGTTGCTCGCCCTGCATCACACTCAACCGCAGCTTCTGTACGTCCGAGTTCAGTTACAACCCTAAACACTTCGAAGTCTGTTTTCAAACCCCGAAAGCCCGTCTACTTAGCCACTTTCAATGTTCGCACACTGAAGCAAGCAGGTCAACAGGTGGTTCTTGCGCGTATGCTGTCAGAAAAGAGGAGACAGGACGGAAGTACTGTGATCGAAATGACTGCCCCCTCGCTCTTTTCCAGGTTCTAACTGCGCACCTCTGGTGATGCAGAGGCCACTGTAGCTGGATATACTGGGTTTGTTATTGTATTGAGCGAACGACCGGAAGTGTCTCTGCTTGATTGGATACCCGTTGACAGTCGCCTCTGTGCGGTTCGTTTGGCAACATTTGTGAGAGAAGCTGGAGGAAGTGAGGTTCATCGCACCTTGTTTACTGTGTCTGCTTACGCCCCTATTGACTGTAGTGGACAGAATTAGGACAAATCAGTGCTCGGATCGAATGAATTTCCTGCACTTACCGCTGACTGTCACAGGTTCCCACCGGTAGGCGACTCCCCCCTCGTAAGTCGATAAGAAGAACTCACCCGAACGGAGTACCCTGTGAAGAGAATGAAACATCAAATACAAAACTGCTCACAAAATACATCAAAGTGCCATCTGTGTTACGGCAGTTCTCCTCAAACGCGAATTCAATAATTCCGTGAGAATGGCTACTTCTAAAAATTGTCATTCCTTTGGATCTGCTTACGCCCCTACTGACTGTAGTGGACAGAATTAGGACAAATCAGTGCTCGGATCGAATGAATTTCCTGCACTTACCGCTGACTGTCACAGGTTCCCACCGGTAGGCGACTCCCCCCTCGTAAGTCGATAAGAAGAACTCACCCGAACGGAGTACCCTGTGAAGAGAATGAAACATCAAATACAAAACTGCTCACAAAATACATCAAAGTGCCATCTGTGTTACGGCAGTTCTCCTCAAACGCGAATTCAATAATTCCGTGAGAATGGCTACTACTAAAAATTGTCATTCCTTTGGACTGGCTACAATAGGGTTCTCTACCAGTCATCGAAGCAAGTCATCTCGGGCAGCAGCCACAAGCCGAGTCCACCGTTCTGCCTTCTTAACTAGTAGATGGGATGCAGGTTATCTCTGCGCATTAGCTTATCTTATACTTTGAACGCTGTGCAACTGGAGGGATTTGCTGGCCAGAAACCTGAAACCAAGTTTCACCTTGTTATGAATGGTCCAGAAATAACGGAAGCAGTGGGTTGACCAAAGAAGCTGTGTTTATACTTTATTGTCTATTTACAGACTATTGCTAATTGGCAGCTAGAATATCGGAACATGTTGTCTCCTTCACTTCGTTTCATCTCGATGCAGAGCATCTATCTTTCAGTGTTCCACTCCCTGATCAATGGTAAAAATTCTGTAGGTAATGATCAATCCTTTACCCGGTGTTTAACCGCCTCTGTGATCGACACTAGTCTGAGCCTTGCCGGCTTTTGTAGATTCGGTGCTCCGACCATAACCTGATCCCTTACGCGCATTTGTGACATACTTCCTCTTAGAAGAGTTTTCTTTCAACAGAAATCAGGTTGCGATAATGAGGATAGTGAACTTTCGCTGGGGTCCTCACTGATGCTTGGTCGAAGGGTTTTAGACAAAGAATTTTGAAACCCAGGAACCGGTCGTATGGAATTCATGACTCGTGGTTCCGTCTACTGGCATTTCGCGGACCAAGATAATGAGAATGTTCTTCCTTCTGAAGGCACTTTTTTCTACGGCAAAAACCCACTTCTGATACGGTAGTGCCAGTCTTTGTTAGCCTCAAGTGAATTCTGGTCTCGTATGCATAATAACTATACCAGATCTCCTCAAATATATTTGGATTGTTGAAATTTGATCTAACTAACCTCGAGTTTTTCATACGAGATGCCCAACAAACATTGTTCTTCCATTCCACCAAGTTCTCTTGGTCAAACAAGTGCATCTGATTGAAGTTCCCTGTTCATTGAGCACCTGTTCATCTCGGCTTAGCGTGTCCAGCTAAATGGACAAACTGAGCGTTTTCTACGTACACTTAGGGGAAGAACTGGTCAGGTTGAGGGGGTGCAAAAATCCACAAAAAATAGACAGTGATATTTTGCACATTTCAAGTAAAACATCAAGCCTGTCAGTATCCAAAACCTGTTTTTATTCACAGCATCTCTTAGTAAACATATCAGAAGGCTTGGAAACCCTTATTACACAGCGATGAACGGAATACGCACGGAGTTAGTTTCGACCGTCACTGTCGTTTACGCTAGTGGAAGGTCACCACAGACGATATGATTTATGTACACAGTTTTTGTGAAGGAGGGTCAGGTTGGAGATTTTGCCAAGTTATGGAACTGATTTCACGTACAGGATACGAACTACATATAAGCCTATGGAATAAATGCCAGTCATGCACCAACTCTTCTGAAATTGAAAGGGTCACTTCGAACGCTAGATGTTTCACTGTCGAAACAGATACTGTATTAACTGATCGGAGATGGTCAAAGTGTCTCAGAGAACCTGTGCAATGTCTGGAGCTCAGTTCGAGACAAAAGATGTACAAATAGATTTTGAAGTGTTACTCACTTCAGCCTAAAAGAGTGGGGTGTGCAGGAAGTCCTGTCACAATTTCACTGCATGACTGCATGACTAGTTGTAAACTCCATTTCTTTCCATAAAATACTATAATGAGGAATGAAGCACTATGATCACAAGCGTTTCACACAAATGAAAAAATATCGTTGTTTTGAATCGAAAGGAATTTCGACATGCCAATCATACATCTGTGCAGAGTCTGAAATGCTACATGAATATCTATGTATTTATAGGCATGTGTATGCATTTCAACACTCTACACCAATCTGTGACCTTGGAAGAGCTTGTTGCCAATATCAACATACGTATTCACATTTCAAATGTCGTCGGGCGGAAATGTGTGAGAATGACATCACTGTCATCGACACGTGACTATTTTACGACAGTACTAGCTGTCAAAGTGTATGTGACTTTAAACTCTGCCGAGTTGACAGGCAAAGTTTGCGTCAAACATCAGCAGAAGACGTGATACTCATACCGTTATTTCATCTCATTTCTTCAAGGAAACGTTTCGAGTGCCCCCCAGATTATTTTCTTACAATGAAATTCAAAACAAAAAGGACAACTATGACAAAAGTAGACACAGTAACGAAAAACTGAAAGCCATTCGGTAATGGGCCCCGAATTCATACGTGGAGCCTCTCTGTATCTTGCTCGCTTAAAGCTTCTGGTCGATCCGAATTAGGCGAGGGGAAGCAGTCCTAGCAGTGACTGGTTTGAGCTGAAGAAGCTTCATGATTTCTTAATGGTGGTCGAAACTGCGCGGCGGGTATGCGGAATCGTCGGGAACTCCATGATGTCCACCTGGAGAAAACGATACTGTCCAAAACGAAACTTGTTCAGCTGAGCCCCGTATGCTGAAGTCCTTGTACTGTAATCCATTGTACCACACATCGCGTTAAGCTGGTCTACTATGCTTTACCCTGTAACAAATATAGGATGGAGAACTAAGTTTTTCTCACGGAACTGCTACACATCACTTTTCTGAAGACCACGTAAACTGTTTTTATCAACTCGCAATTGCCTTACATGAGCACACAACGATTTCTTCAGTACACATCGTTTAATTCTTGCTGGAATACAGGGAAACCGACATCATTCCACCTCGATCCAGTACTTTTTCTTTGGTTAATCGATACCATGAATGTTTCATACTCAGTGGCCTACCATAGTTTGAGGCCCACCCTAGTGGGACTTAGAAAATGCGACAAAAAGTGCCAGAGTTTGAAGTACAGTCCTATTACTTTGTTTGGTATTGTATCGTATTCCCCTGATGGCGACTGGCACGGAGAAGAAGCTCTGCGGTTTGAAAACTGTCCCCCCTGTAGCAATTTCAATTCCATTTAGAATCAGAGGGGTTCGGTAAACAATCGGTGGATTTATTGCTGGACAGCGTTTTGCTTTTGACACAAAAGCTTCGTCGGGCCAAGTGGATAAGTAAGTGGTAGAGCATGCCCTGCATTTGAAGGATCGCCTTCCGGTTGATAGGACTAGGAACTGTGTATGCAAAATAAAATGTAACGACTGTACGAAGGTCTATATAGGTCAGACAGCCAGGGAATTGCACACCAGAATCGGTGAGCATAAGCGTTCCATTAAGAGACCACCGAGAAACGTAGATTATTATCAGGCAACAGTCAAAGATTCGACAGTGGCAAAGCATGCACTAGACACCGAGCAAAGGATAGATTTGGAAAATGTTTACACTCTGAGACGGAATTCGAGATTCACAACACAGCTACTGGTGACCGAGGCGGTCGAAATCGCCAAGCATCTCAGCGTAAATAGAATAGAGGGCAAACGTGTGGAGATCGGTTTCAAATCAGCCGAGATCACGCGAGGCGGTGTGCAGTTATTAGAGAAATGGTGTGGGTCTAAAAGTACAAAATCCAAGTAGAGTTTGATCCAATTAACCACCCCACCCCCATACCCAAACCAGTTGTTCCAGCACCCTCGGACGAAAAAGCAAGGACGAAAAATCTGGGTTCATCATGAAGACAACCCCCCCCCTAACCAATCTATCGCAAATCTTCGTCATCCCCATTAATCAACAAACAGGAACACCAGACTGGACACCCAGCACTGATCAAGTCACTAGTCATCAGGAATCTCACGGATCGGTTCCCTGACTGCCTTAAAACCCAATCAACCTACTTACTTACTCACTTGGCCTGACGAAACTTTTGTCAAAAGCGAAACGCTGCCCAGTAATAAATCCACCTATTGTTTACCAAACTCCTCTGAAACGATGACTTCCCAATCGGTCCCAAACATTTTCCAAATGGTTCTTTCTAGAATGTTCGCAAGTGTATCAGTGTACACAGTTTTTACCCCGAACCCACCGGATATAGTACCATGACAACAGTTTGGGAAGAACAGACTATTTCTCTCCAAAATCAACACCATTGTGTACATATGAACATGATCTGTATTACTCCAGACACCAGCGATTCCACACCGTCTGCACGTCAACCACCATGACAGGCAAATTCCTAACCAAAGAAATGTCCAACAACCCGCTCGGTGTTTTCCACAACCGCTTTACGCTCACCTGACCCAATGGTGTCTGACAAGCATGTAGGGAACAAGTGCAAACAACCTCCACACGCTACCAGGTGACCTTGAGAGCGGGATTAATCGATCAGGCTGTGTTGACTTTCATCAGAATGCTGCCCAATCTATTTCATCATTTTGTTGCGCCAGTGGTGAATGAGTTTTTTAAATCTATCAAACATTTTTTGCAGTTCAGGAGTAAGCAAAGTCTAATACGAATTCGGGGATATTGGGATATTTCAGGATTACCACCAGGTGCAAGCGGGTATCACTTTGCGCCAATGAAACACATGATTATGTGTGGAATTTGGAACCCTTGTCAGGAAAAGAGTGATGTAGACTTTGTGAACAGGCTGAATTGAATTCTTGCCACATCACCCACTGTGTTTTCTGCAACTCCATGTGACCCAGTGAGGTCAATTTACCTGTGATGTGATTCGAGCTTATTTATTTAGTTCTGGTTCTAGGGGAAATCCGAAAATTCGACAGCATATGATTTCCGTCTTCCGTAGCTATCAGCGCAGATCGAAACAGTAAGTGCTGTATAGGGCTTTCTAAAAATTAGTTTATCCCTTGAAAATAATCACTGAGAACAAATGGGCTAGACTTACAAATATCCTAAGAATTTCGTACATTCGAGAAATACACTCATTTGCAAATCAATTTGGTTCTCACAAGAGACTCAACTGAATCTCTCGTTTATGGTGTTCTACAAAGAAGTTTCAGCAACCTTGTGAGTAGTTTCCTTCAAAAAAAATACTCCGATATCTCGAATATCGTACCAACTGAAACAGGAGGCGGCCCGTGTGCAGCACATTCAGTTGTAAAACATCATAAACGAGAGATTCAGTTGAGTCTCTCGTGCAAACCAAATTGATTTGCAAATGAGTGTCTTTCTCGATAACAGTCCAATTGGGGTTGAAGTAGAACATAAGGTTGATTGAAACTCGGAGGTTGAGCCTACCTGATGAGCCCCAAGAAGGGCGAAACCGGTCATGGGCTGTCGAAGAGTTTTCAGCAACCTTGTGAGTAATTTCCTTCAAGAAAGTTTCTTCCATTATTATTACAACTGGACGGAAGGTTGCAGACGGACGCAGGAATGGGAGGCGTACTAATCTATGAATACGTAGTCAGACGGCGGTAGCTTTCAATCTTACTAGGTGTATTCCAATTAGCCAATCGTATGAGAAGAGTTTAGATACCCTTCAATAACCCTATAGACGCAGCTAGGAACGGAGGAAGCACTCACTCAAGTTCTCCTCGACTGACGTCGGAAGGTTTACAAGCTGATTACCAAGCCCGGCAAAATCATCAACAACTATCTGATCAACCAGCAATTTTGTTTCTGACTCCGCAAGTGACGCAAGTTAGCGAACGTTGCTAGTACTCTGATCACGTGCGCATTTATTTCATGTGTGGTTTGGTACGACCGTGGCTTATGCCGCTATTGAGACTTGTGGGCCCATCTCTCGCTTGACCAGTCTGTCTTCTGTCCTGGCGCAACTATCCTGAAAGGTAGCACTGTACCTTTTTCTCGCGCTTACCTTAGCTCATCAGCAGTGGAAATAGTTAGACATCATCATCATCTTCGACAGCATGACATCAGTGTCCAACACCGAGGCTTCACTGCCGTACAACCATGATTTATTTGAAAGCTTTATTGCAACGAAAGTAGCAAAGGTGCTAGCTTATCACAATCATTTCGGGGTGCCTACACCTCCAGGCATTCACTCAGGCAATGTGGATAGAAACTGACAGCGAGAACGCCACCGACATCGGTTGGCAGCCATTTCTTGTAGTGTATCCCACCAGGCACAGTAAGGATCACGCGATCCCCATCCTGGAAGGCGAGTAGCACCGACAGCACCCAAACTTTCCGTGATCTCCTTCCTACTCCTCTGCCAGGTCAAGGGTTGGCCACCTCTCTGTTTACGCCACTCTGAGTTGGGCATGCAAAACAGCACTCTTTTCGGCAAGCGATGGTTCGACATACGCAACACATGCCCCAACCTTTTGGTGCTGGACACATTTTTCAATGGAAGTACTTGTTCCGCAACCAAAAACGCGCTTTCTAACTGCCTCATTACGGATGTCCCCGACACCAACCCACACGAGCTATGGTTCTGAGATGCCTATTTTCCGAGCCCCGGATATCTTATATGCGAGGCAAGCATGTCACTGCAACGGCCTCACTTAGCTTAATTAAATTTTCAATCACTGCACTTATTTTGATCAGTAAAAGTGCATTTCATCAAGGCTGCTACCACCTGAATCAACGCCGTGCTTATAACCTTGGCATGCATCAGATTTTGTGCAACTGTCAATTTGGAATTGCCTATGGGACTTCCCATAGCGTTTCCACCTTATCTGCACATCGATGCGGCTGATTCACTGGCATGTACACACAAGGAAGGACTCAACAGATCCACGAACAATCAAGGGATCTCGCCGTGCCAGCATACGCCACGTTCATACTGCAACAGTGTAGACACCACTTTTCCCAAGCTAAGTTCTATACACACACACCTGTGTTTAGCAGTCATAGTGTGCCCTCTGCGTCATCAAGCTATCACCACTCCATCGGCAGCGTGCACTGAACTCACGTGATTTGCTGCTTCTTAATAGGCGGATGCGTTCACGCCTCATCGATTTGATTGGTACGACCAAGTGCTCGAAAGACAACCCGGTCACTGGTCTGCCTGAAATGACTCATTTCAAGTCAGGTAGTGATACAAACGCTTGAAGCCTATGGATTAGCTGTTACGGGATTCGTGGAATGTTTAAGCGAAAGTGATGTGAGTGCAGGTTCCACTAATTTCGCAACGAACCTGTCTGCTTTTATCAAATTTTTAAAGCACTGAGTGGTACTCACTCCCACAGCCGTAAAGATTAGTTCATTGGATGGCCGCAAAAAATACGCACCATGAAGAGGGTTTCATGACATCTTTCTATTGTCAGAGACAATTGCTGTGTACGAATTCTTTCTCAGCCGGGTTACTCTGATAGGTCATTAGCTATGCAAATCATGGGATGACTTTTTCAATGACTTTGCCGGACAATATCACATACTTTGCTATAACAAGTGGGGCACTGTTAACCCTTGGTTTATACACACCCTATTCTTCTGTTTATCACACAGGTGATACGATGAATTTACGTCAGCTGGCGGTTGACTGGCTTTCCATGGTCTATCTACTCGCCTATATTCCCCTCATCGTTCCAGTCACATGGCTTCAGGATCGTTACGGACTACGAGCCTCGGTCACAGCGGCTGCATTCGTGAACGCGATAGGTGGTTGGTTAAAGTGTGTAGCTGTGTACTTGGCTGCTGATCCCGAGAAGCTCGAAGGATCAACACCAAGTGTCGCCGAGTTGTCCGGCTTCCCCGTCCTAATGCTTTCCCAAACATTGGATGCCATTGCTCAGGTATTTATTCTCGGCGTCCCGGCCCAACTCGCAGCCACTTGGTTTGGAGACCGAGAGGTTAGCACTGCTACATCGATTGGTGTGCTTGCCAATCAGGTGAGTGATTTGTCATGGTTGGTGAAAGGAAGCCCCTTACAGATTTGTCGTTTTGAATGGTTCTTTTCAGCTGATGTGTTGGTGATTCGGACAAGGTGATTCTGAATACAACAATTCATGTTAATTCAGACTGCCTATTCGAAATGTGAACCAAGGGCTCCCACCAACACCAAGCGGTCCCCAGATCAGATGAATTCTTTCGAATGATCTCACTGATGGTAGCATTTCAGGAAATTTGTAATGCCCCACAAAATCTCGTGACAGAAATAATACAACTACCGTTTAGTCCTACGGGAGCTTCTACCTCGGCTATAATAAAATGACCTTTTTACGGATGTGATAACCAGTTGGAACATCGTCACTGTTGTGTACATCTCGATTGATGATTTTGTTTGCAGTCAAATCTAGTTCCTGTGGGCCACGCAGTTATCTGAGTAAAACAAACGTGTCCATCCGAGCGTACACGAAACAGGAGGACACTTGACTTGGGTGTCGCCCTTATTAGAGGTCAGCAACCATATATATGGTCACTAGACTGTGGGCGTGAATTCCGACCATCTAGTATACTCTGAGTGTATATTTATCAAGTCTGAACAGGTGAACCTGTAACGGTGGCAGGGGTCAGTTACTGGGTCGTCATTCGAAGCCTTGGGAGAACACAATCTTTTCGATCAAACGTGAATACTTCCGCCTAGTCGGAAGAGACAATTTAGGTGAGTTCACTGCGCACTGGCGGTGGGGTATTGACTGCTGGATGTCTCTGTACATCCCGATAATCAACCATAATTAGCGCAAAATTCCAGTCCCCTGTTTTCCCTAATTTATTTGGGTTCATTAGAATAATTGCGTTTTAAGCAACCACAGTTTTTTTCTGTTGACGTAGTGCAGTGTCCCAAACTGTGCGGAGGAGTAATGATCTGAAAAGTTCGAGAACCACAGAAACAACATAAAAATCCATAGACTCCCGATGAATGGACCAGATTTGTGACGTAGTTGTTCGTCGGACGTTACTGCATTTCTTTTGCTAGGTTCCAATTTCCATTGGTATGTACATTGGCAGGCTTCTACATAACAGTGGATTACCAAAATGGGTCTTGGTTCATCTATGCAACCATGAACGGTGAGGAATGCTATTATACTCTCTACACGGCGGTGCCTTCTCTATGGATGGGTCTGGTTTTGTGAGGTTGTGTGGACAGCAGGATTCATGAACCTAAAAAGGACGTCTGATGACCTTAACCATGCTGAGAACAGATCTGTGGTCACGTGCCAAAAGTAAGAAGGATCAAAACATAGATTTTTCATCCGGATGGACAGTTAAACATCGAGCACACTCAGAGGGAACCTTGTTGGGGTCCGGGGTGCGTTACCGAAATTGATCAGTTTCGAACCAAACTCTCGCGGATTTTTAGTAAAACTGTCAGTGTTGGGGTTATATGGTCAGAGATCAATCTATGTTGCGAAAAAGCTATCTATCCAAGGTTTTAGTTGATGCATGTCATACGTAGCAATAAATATTCGGCTCGTACTAGGCGATAATGTCAAAAATACTATTTCGTTTTAGTCACCTTTTCGTTGTCCAGATGAGAAAATCTAGTGATTCGGGACGGTAATAATGTGAAAATCCTCGCCTCTCGACGTAAAAGCACCATTTTGAGAGACGTTCAGACATTTTTGGAGCACTATCCTGATTAGAGCTACTATTTTCAAAATATGGCATCAGATCCAAGCCTTAGTAATTTTATACTTGGATTCGCCTTTTTGCTTTCAACAGTTATTTTCTTTTGACAACCGGACCCATTTTTGTTAGGTGACTTTCATTTTGCTAGTCCTCCCCTTACTATCGTGTTGTGTTGAATACGAACGTCTTATCCTTCATTTGCCTCCATGTGTTGAACTGTTTGAGTGTTCGCCACTATCATCATCCACCCAAGGTCATATTACAGAAGGACTATTTCATGAGTTCATTTCTATAATGTCCCCAGGATGGCTGAACACTGCATCCTCCGGATCCTAATTAGAGATCTTTCAACCTGATGATTTCTCGAGTGGGGGGTCTCATGCGCTCTGCAGTTGTGGTGACTCACCGATAGTTAATTGTGTCCTGACCTGACTGGGCACCTAGGAACTTTGTGAAGTGCCTCAGACTAGGAATCCTCTTTGTCTAGATCATATGTTTGACATGTTGAACATGTTTTTGCGCCATAAGCTGGCGTTAACGGGATACTCAAATGAATTCAAGAGCATTCACCAACCTTAGTATTGTGTCAGTAGGCGCGTTCATATTTCGAGAAGAGACGGTAGGTGCTTTGTGTCACGGTGAGAACATGGTGGGAAATTTTTCTCTTTGTGTCGGACGAATCACACTGCGAGGTAATTGGTTCATACCACAACTTTGTCCCTGTTTTGGATGTATGCTGCATGGACAAATTTGAAGTGGTTCCATTGTCCTAAAACTCGGACACTGACCATTTGGATTGTACACGTGATATCACATGCCCATAAAAACTGGACAGGTATTAGCATAGCGCTGTTGTAGTTTTCCCAACTTTCAAAGAAACTTACTGAGTGATCAGTAATGGGTTTAAACACATGGTGTTTAGAAGGGGAATTTGGAACACAATTAAATATAAGATGATTTTTATTGATCGCTTCACCTGTTTCGGTTCATTGATACGGTCTGTGTGGAGTATCCTTTAACGAGACCGTACACCAGTTTTATCAGGAGCCTTAATTTCATATGTTCCAAAACAAGTGGCAGTCAGGGTGTTTTTTTCAGTTGTCCGAAACATCTTGATTACTGCACAGTTCACCCTAAGCTAATCGTCACCACACAAGGTCAGTTAGTGTTCTAGCTGTGAACTCCGTATGTAATTCCATTCACGGACGAGGAGAAAAAGGACGGCTGTCTTATCTATTAGCTAAAACCTCAGGTAAACATCCCAATGAATTTGCCAGATGTAGCTTCCAGTCATACCCAAATATTGGCGGAGGAACTGTTAAATTGCAGTTTCTGCTATGTTGTGGAATTCGTATCCACTGCATCCTCCTTGTGGAGTTGGAAAAAGCGTTCTGATGCACCTGGTTGTACAGTGGTTACTCCAGGGAGGGATTTGAGGCCTCTGACACGCGTAGATGCCTGCTAATGGAAAACTGCCTACCACAGTATTGATTATTGGTCCGAGCTGTCTCATGCCAACTCGCTAGTCCTCATGCATACTAACTGGTTTTGTTTTTCCCCCGCTGATCTCCAAAGCACTGCAAGATTAATCTTGCTTGGGAAGAGCTTTTGTGGTTCCGTATTAGCAAAATGACAAAATGTTCCATAAATAGCCCACTACAGCTTGTACGATAATAGCATCGCCCTCCTGCGGCGGTTGCACGCACAGTGTGAGAGCAAAGCAAGCATCGGGGGGAGGAGCACGTGTTCGAGCCCAATATATCCACAGGTTAAAATGTTTACACACCGGGATGACTGTTCGCTCATGCTAGGATAATTTGACTAATGGTGAAAGCAACAATAAACCACCCAAGTTAAACAAGCAAAATCGCTCGTAAACTGAGGTTTGAGTGTACACCTCATCTTGAAGCGTGAGCTAATCTTGTCACAAGATTTTGGTCTATTCACACATCAGGAATCCGTCTTTTGACAAGTCACCTTCGATTGTCCATTCAGAGGTGTCTTGTGAACAATTGGCAGTTTTATAGCTGGCTAACGTTTCGGTTATTACACAAAATCTTCACCAGGCCAAGTGAGTGGGTTATCAAGTTGTATTATTCAGCGGACGCATTATGCCTAACACTGATGAGTTCCTCATTAAGTTCGCACATGTTAGCTTTACTTTATTTATGCCATTTGTGCTTCATCTTAGGCACGGCATCTGTCTCAGTCATATGATCAATATCATCCTGGTTCGACAGAGACGTTTTCAAATTGTTTTTGGAGTTCACCGAGTCACTTTAGAGCCAATCGATGATACTGATTTGCAAACGGTGGGTAGGACTCTACAGCGAAGCTTGTATCCCGCTTTTACAACATCAGCACTAGCTCGCGGATACTGCTGGTGTGGCATGCGAGTAGTATGTGGTTTTCTCATAACTCCGCCTCGCGTCTAATGGAAGGTAGTGTTCATAATGCGAAACCTGTGGAACTTGTGTGCAGCGTTCATTTAAAATTCGCGATAGTACATGAATATCCACGAAAGCTCAAGTAGATGGTCAGCTGTGAAAAGCAAGGCGCATATGGGACGTTTACGTGCATGTCAAAGGTTTGTAACTATTTAGTTCGTATCTACTAGTAACTACGCTGCAAAGGGTCTGCCTGATTAGACGGGTAGTGCAGTGGGCTGAGTTGCCTTATGACTCTCACCGTGTTTCGGTTGACATTCGGCAGGATCTTAATTGGCGTATCTTGTGTTGCCTGAAGTACTTCTCAGTGTTTTCTAGATTTGATCAAATCGGAAACCCTTTCAGTAAGAATAACAGATTCGTATCCTCATCAAAGGTTATCCTATTTCCGCACTACAGAACAATATATTGGCAAAAAATACTTGCTTTGCTTGTACCTACAATCCGTGAGTAGCATAATTTTGTTCGTGGCTTTAAACTTGTAGGGCATAGATGATTTTCTGACGCATTGAACGTTAAGCACAAAGCAAAACAGTTCAAGGGTCACTAACCTAGGAAGCTCATTGGTCCTTGATCTAAAATCAACATTACTGAGGTCGTCAACCACATCTGTGAGGCGGCCATGTTGAGGTCGCATTCCACTCACTTCCTACAGATCTCCGCTTCATGGTGTGGGGATAAAACAAATGCTCTGAACGTCTTATTGCCATAAATTCGCTAAATTGTATGCCGGAGTCCACGTGAGGTCTAGCAGGTGCTGGCTAAACACGGCTACAAACTTCATGAATAAAAAACCTTACGTTCTAGGAATTCCGTAGAGTGACTATCTGTTAGGCCTAGTGAACCTATCATGTTAACCTGGTTAGACGTATAAAATGAGGGTATATATATATATATATATATAGTTATATAGTTACATACGACAAAACGGGTACTATACATCAGTACACACGATGGTGTAAATCTGTGTGCAAGTAATGAGTTAAGAGTGCGTGCGAGTGCAAAAGTTACAACTACCCCTGCTATTTAAAGGGCACTTCCTGATATTGATCTAGGCTGCCTGATAGACGTTTAGTGAATACCCATCAATATCGATCGGGCTTCTTTCATGAAATGCCTGAACGCTGATCACATTCGGGCGTGCTTCTGTGGCGTTCTTGAACACTCATCGGCTTTTGCTGAATCGATTGAATGACTGACTGGCCTGGATGCTTTCCGGCTTTCTTATTGAGATTTTGGTGAAGTTTTAGGGTCTCTGTAGGTTGCGGGTGTTCTGGGATTCAATATGGATAGGTACGGAGGAGCTTCCGCAGCATTTGAACATTGATATCTCGTCATAATAATCCTCCTTTTAGCTTCTGGAGAACAGCGATCTCTATGAATGAATGTGGTTTTCCGTATGAACTGGATAACTGTGATTTCTAAAAGCTTTCTAAAACTTGTTTCCTGACATCCGAAGATCCCTGGTAGTGTGTGTTCTATATAGGGTGTGATGATGCTACAACTCGATCCTTCATTTCTTAATTTCGTAACTGCTAAATTTTTGCAGCGTGCTATTCCGGGCTTTCTCGTCAGTTGTATGAACAGTACTCTTCCATCCCAATCCCAGGACTTTATGGCTACCCTTCACTGTTCTTCGATCGTTTACATCAAAGCAATTTATTAGCCTAGTACCTGGCGATTATAATGTTCTAATGTATACCGAGAAACGGACAAGCGTTTTACAGTTGTTCCTTCCCAATTAGGGTCCGTCAGCAGTCTCACCAATCGCCAAGACGATTTGAACTCGCAGAATACCGCTTAACGCACGAAGGCTTGACCGTTCGACTATTTCTCTATAGAGGAAAATGTTGGTAGCTCAAGTGGCGTCGATGTTCGTTGGCTTGTTCGCTGAGCTGGGCAATTTGATTGGGCACTGACTATTGGCAGTTGATCATGAGTGTGTCCAGCCCAGATATAGACGGGATGCTTTGTTCCACATCACGTGGCTACACATGTGGACTGACTCTTCAAGTGATAAAAATTTCCGTCATCTTGCGAAATCATTCTTCCATTGAGCTACTTATGGATTGATGGTATTGTGAGACTGGTCTGCTTTTCTAGTCAACTTCTTTCAAGAAACGACATCACGGAGTAAACGCTTCAAAGACAAATGACGGCAACTACCACCATTCAGGCGTAGGTTGTCTGCTCAGAGCTTGGGACACTCATCAGTTGTTGAAGGTAGCACTCGATAAGTAACCCGCACAATATAACCAAATGTTGCGACCTAAGATGTGCCGACTTGAGTAGTCATAACAAGATTAAATGAGTCACTTTCATTACTCATCTCGGTATGAACTTCAAGGGCATTACTATGGTGAGATTCCTGGATCCCAACAATCAATGACCATCCAAACAATATTCCCCATGGCAGGCTGTCAGCTTTCTAATATCCGACTTATTTATCTGCAATAATTTTTTCTTCGTTTCAAAGGTCAGGTTCCACCCTATGCAATACATTACGCCACGCTTCTTTTGTACAGCTTGGTGCAGCCATTGGTTTCGCGATACCCACAGAGGTCGTTCCTTCCGTCATTGCAGACGGCGTTCCAGGAGCGGATCCGAACCCCATGGTGGACTTCGACACCGTTCGTCAGAGGATGATGTACCTATTGATTGTAGGTGCAGCTGTGAACAGCCTGCCTCCAATCGCCGCGCTTATTTGTGAGTCTGGAAGCAAGAGGTTTTATAGATTATTGCCACTTGTTGAGCCCGACATATCCTAGTGGTCATGGCACGAACTCACCAACTAGAAGGTTCGTGGTTCGAACCCAAAACCAGAGCCGTTCTAAAGCCCCTGCCTCAGCCTGCCTCCAATCGCCGCGCTTATTTGTGAGTCTGGAAGCAAGAGGTTTTATAGATTATTGCCACTTGTTGAGCCCGACATATCCTAGTGGTCATGGCACGAACTCACCAACCAGAAGGTTCGTGGTTCGAACCCAAAACCAGAACCGTTCTAAATGCCCCTGCCTACGCTTGGCAGTATCTAACCTCTCGTGGTTCCTTTTGACGATATGGCAGCTAGGCACGGAAAGCGTGTCACAGCTAAACAAGCGTTCTGCTCCCTTTGAAAGATGGAGTTACGTTTTATCTGACCCGATTCCTCCCACTTGTCTGTCTTTGTTTAGAGAAAGCTCATTGGTCTAACCTACATTTTCTCTCAAGTGACAAATGAGTTTTGAATTCCCAGTGTTCAATCGTTGTAGAACATTGCTTTAAAAGATTTTGGACAGATTCATCCAAATTTCCAGAGCGGCGTCATACTACTTACTACCAATGCACCGTCTTTACTTTACCTCAACTACAGGGAAAAGGTATTCAATTGGCAGTTCACTAGGAACATCAGTTGTTTAATAAAGTATCTTTCTCTATCTGAAAAATGTCCAGTTTTTCTTGTTTTGAGCTATTTTTATCGTTTGGACGCTGCTTTGAAGACGAATTTGCGGAAAAACAGGGCCTCTGTGTACTATAATGATACTTGCATTCTAGTTTCGAAACCAGACAAGAAAAATGATGCGAGTCATATCAGTTTTATCCAAAAAGCCCTGAATTATGACAGACAGAGAGAGGCACTTCATTACATGAGTCATCGAATCCTGGGTGGTCGAACCCTTGACACAAGTTTGACGGAAGTTCGGAGATGAGCCCAAAGAAGGGCGAAATCGCTCGTGGACTGTCGAAGAAGTTTCAGTAACCTTATGAGTAGTGTAGTACGCCCTTGACACCTCCTCCACTACTGTCGTTTATTTTTGAAAATTGTGGTCACAAACATAGAAATCAATTGCAAGCGATGGATGTGGAATGGTTACAGAAGAATATTGGACAAAATGATGGGAGCGTCCTATATGAAGTAGTAGCAGTGGACAAAATGAATCCCAACGTGTGTAAGAATGTTTGGTATGGGAACCCGCGTGTAGAGACCAACAGCCGAAGACGGCGCGGTAAGCGCTAGCACAGCCTAGACTCGCATATTAGGCACAGAGTGTCCGTAATGCTGGGTCCGGTGTGACTCAATGGAAAGAATGTACACTCAACCCCATGTACTACGCACAAAAGTGCTCCAAGTACGCCGACATCCCACAATGGCAAGCAAGTGACTGACTGTGACCTTGGGACGTCCCAGTTCAATAAAACAGCCTTGGCGATACGATTTTTTTTAACTAGGAGACATAGTACCTTGGAGTTGCGCTCTTTTTACGGTACAGGTCCACCAAGAAATATGAGCTGCGTTCAGTCTTATACGCAAATTAGTCTCCCTAACTTGGACTCTGAGCCATCTGGACAGCAGTTTTTATCGTTCCAACTATCAAATTCAATGAGGTCACCATCTCAGACGAAGCTTCAAATATTTCCCCCGTTTCATTCCTACCTGATTGCCAGGACAAAGCATTCACCTTGCAAAGCAGTCGACTTACAAGAGCTTTGCCTTTAAGGTGTTTCATCGTTGAGGTTTTTGTTAAACACTACTGACGGGGATCTGTGAAATAGTTTCTTCCTTCGAACTGTTCCGCAGTTCGGAATTTCTTATATAGCAGGAGTACAACGGTGTTGCAGACGTCTTCAGTAATGAAACTGCTGGTGTACGTTGAGCGAAAAATCAGGCGGTAGCCAATTACAAAACACTCAAGTGCGTATCTAACCCCGATCCCCCGAAAAGGTAGTTCTAGAAATTCCCAAGGTATTATGTAGCCAGTCTAAGTGAGGGCTGAATAGATCATTTAAACACAATTGTATACTCTACTAGATTTAGTTACTTACAGACCCTGAAGTTCAAAAAAACACAGGAATGCAATCTTGGGTTTAAATCCTGTAGCTTGAATAAACTCATGCTGAGAAGCTAAGAAGACGTGCACAGGTACTACACTTTTGTCAGAAATTGTCAGGAACATACAGATCATGAATCACCAGAAAGATTTTAACTCGCAGCTTGCTGCTTACCACATGAAGGCGAAACCGTTCGACTGTTGAAGACTATTGATCAGGGGTGTGTCTAACTCCCACGCAGACTGGATGAGCTACCACTCAAAACTCACCTACATCTCTGTCTTCTCGGTGTCCCCGACTTGCTAAGTTGAGTTGTTAAGTTTCCACAACTGTAGTTAGGTTTTGACGCTTCATAAAGCTAAAGATCCTGCGTTACGCCGTGGGATGCCAAACAGGTAAGCAAACAGCAGATTTCCAACTACCCTTCCTGAGTTTCGTAAGATCCGCACGTATGATCATATCGGATAAGGATGAATAGCTAAGCAGTAGGTCGCGGTTTTGTGAGCATAAGTTATTTGGATTTTCGGACACAACAAAATCTCTTTTGAGATTAAACAGATTTTTTTCAGCCCACCACCAAGACGGCCTGTTGTTACCTCACTCCCGTGTAGCTTCTTGTCTTTTCATGTCATTCATCAACCGCAGATCGTTTCAGAAATCCGCCCACCCACTGGATGTAGCATCAAGTTCGACCGAACAGCAGTTCCGGTCGACCGATTTCTTCCGCTACATATATTTATGCATTGCCCTCTCCTCTGATCATATGTGGCTAGAAGCCATAACTTGATGAACATACAGATAATAAACTGAGTTTTTCAGCAACCTTATGAGTAGTACATTACAAATGTATATATGTATCGCGATATCTCGAATATCGTAGCGACTAAAACATGAAGCGGTGCAGCACATTCAATTGCCTCGAAACATCACAAACGAGGGGTTCAGCTGGGTTCCAGGTGAGTCTCTCGAAAAACCAAATTAGTTTGCAAATGAGTGTATACTCGCTAATTTCGTGCAAACTGGTTTCAGTTAAAACGTAAGGTTGACGAAAACCTAGTAACTGCGCCTACCTGATGAGCCCCAAGAAAGGCGAAACCGATCGTGGGCTATTGACGGGTTTTCAGCAACCTTATGAGTAGTACATTACATATAAACTGAGTTTTAATTTATTGGGGCATGAAGAGTGCATAAGTGGGGGCATGAAGTGCACACCCGATCGCAACGATACTTGGCAGTTATTATGGAAATGACGGTATAACAGAGGAACATTCTGAAACGCAATAAATGACAAATAGATTAGCGTTATGAATGGCATCTAAAACGGGTTAGACTGTTTTCCGGTCTCCTGCTCCAAACTTCCTGCTTAGACTCAACTTCAAAGAAGCTTACTCTCTTGTCTCGACTTTTAGTTTGATGTTAGACTAGTATTCACAGCGCGAGAAAGTAAGATTTGGCCCCTAATGCATCACGTGACTGTCTTCAGCCAGCATTAAGTGAAGTGGCTTTACTCGTTCATTATTCAAAGCTCCTTGTGTTTGCCCACAGGCCATTCTGGTGATCGATAACCCAGATAACCACGATCGATTCTTATTACTAGTCTAACACAGGGTTGTACCATAACGTGACTTTCGCTGCTAGAGCCACATGTGCCTGAAAACAAAATTCTGAACAGGACTGCAAGGTGTCAGAAGGCTGAATCCCGATCATTTGAACAGCAACAACAAAATGCTAATAAAAGATGCATCCTTTTTTACAGAAGGATTACCGATAAGTTTGCTGAGTATCCCTCAAAATCCCACGGCCCATATCGCTCTCCTTCAAGCCCGTCCCTGAAATTCCTTCTGAATCAAGTTTTATTCGAACCCAGTTTGTACTACATTTGCGAATTGCACTCATTGGCATACTAATTTGGTTTTGGCCTGGAGACTCAACTGAATCTTTCCGTAATGCTATTCTTCAACTGAGTGTACTTCACAAAGGACGCTTGAAGTTTCCGTTTGTACTATTTTCGAGATGTCGCAGTACATTTTCTTGACAGGATCAATTATTTTTTGGGACACCGAAAACTTCACGAAGTGTCAGAATTTTCAGCAACGTTATGAGTAGTATGTTATTCAGAAAATATACTGCGGCAACTCGAATGTCGTGCCAACTGAAAAACGAGACGGTTTCTGTGCCGAATGCCTAGTTCATGATCACCAGCAAGGCAGTCAGTTTGGATTCACTTGAAAACGGCAAACTAAAACACGAGGTGTTCCTTACAGAAGGATTTACCCAGTGTGTTTACGGAGAGCAGTTCTCCGCAGTTTCGCCATATGCTCAGGCCCGTCCATTCAAGTCATAATTTTGCATTAAATGACGGTGAATTTTCGGATCACCACTACAACTGAGGAAGTAGATCAAATTTATAACCGACTTTTTGATGAATAGTAGTCAATTTTACGTAGACCGAACTGGTGGTCACCCTCTTGTGTCTCTTTGCCCCCCCCCCCACGACGTGTTTCAACCAGGAGGAACAATATGTATCCACATGAGAGGTATGAAAGGATTCCAAAGCCCAGATCAAAGTCGATGAAAAATTAGGGTCTCTCTTGCCGGTACGTTGGGGCATCGCTTACAATCTCTTCCTTCTGAACGACGATCAGAAGTGTCTTTCTTCTTCAGGCAGGTTCTAACAAAGCTGTCCTGAAAACTTTAGCTTTTAAAGGAGAGAGTTTAGTGCTAATGTGATCATTGTCCAGTTTTACACGAACTTGGGGGACTGGTCTTACTGGTGAGGCTGAGTTAAATCTGAAAGCTTCCCCAGTGACGTAGATTTATTCACTTCATAGAATGTGTGCAGACAAAATTAACGTAAGCCTGGTGAATAACAAAACGTCCTTCGTGGATTTGGGGTGCCTTCTCAATCTGACAAATGGAAAAGCTGGCAATAACGGATGTCATCAAAATCCATGATACTCACGTAGCGATCCCGGATCGATGCGTGCTACCGTATATTTTATGGACTAGACAGGAAATGATAAATCAGCAAGGTGACACAAAGGCACAACACACCTCGCAAGTAGTTGGCCTCCATTTCGTGTAATCAAGGTAGTGCTTGCATTGGCTGGCTTGCATTCTGGACAGGACTATCCTTTAAATTATGCGCAGCATTCTATAGAGGCCTTCCCCCAAACAAGTTTGAAACATATATTGCTAACATCTGGTAAGCGGATGGCAAAAAGGTGTGGCCCAATTGTTCGCCAAGCCTACTGTTTCCATTGTACAAATCGTCTTCTCCAACAGATGCTGAGTTAAGTTGGTATTCATCCCAACGGAACAGAACACTTAGCCCCAAATGGACTAGTGGCGTAGTTGGAGGGAAGCTACTGATGTTTTCACGCTTTTATCACACAATGTATGCTTGTTTCACTAATTGGGAAAGCAGTTAATGATGTCGCAATTCCCTGTCTACATAAACAAAGCTTTTAAGCCGATGGGATTGCAAACTCATCCTTGATGGAAGCAGCCCACGATAGTACGGTGAAACGGTTAGGCTGTATATACGTACTAGTCAAACGGATCATTCGCAGACGGGTTTACAAGTGAGGCGGACTTAATTTGTAGGCAATACTGTGAAGATGCTTTGAAATTCTTATTCCACATGAACATTCGGGTTTCTTGAGTGTCTCTCTCTTTGCCAGGGAAGATTCGCCCAAAAGCTCCGGTAAAGCTCTTTAGAGAATTCATAGTAGCCGGACTGAAACCTCAAGTTAAATCCAATCAGCTGTCTCTCACAACATAATGGCCTAGCAGCGAGTCATTTTCAAAATCCTTTTTGGAATGTCCCAAGATTCCTCTGAGATTGCCCCCAAGAATTCTATTGATTGATCCCCTGAAAAATGCCGTAACATCTGAACCCGGCGTTCTTCTCCTTAGACCTGGTAGACCAATTCAATCACCATCTCGTCCAACACAGCTAACTGCTCCCGATGTTTCTGATTCGTTGAGTTGCTGTGCAAATACGGTTTACCCAATCCAATGAAACCGAATACTTTGATATATTGATATCATTTTTAAACTTGTAAACAGCAATACTTGAAGCCTGATTGTATTGTTTTCACTTGATGAGACGATCCCCCACTTCTCTGGTTACTTTTCAAAAACCTCACCTTTATTTTTTGCGATTAGTCTTCAAAGAGGAACCACCAAAACCACCGACCTATTCTCAGTACGTTCGAAGACTTGCCAAAGTCCAAGCCCGAGTCGGACAGTCCAAAAGCCTACCTAGTCAATCTGCTCTACAACCGGTGGAAACTGGAGACCTGATGACCTCGCTCGATCAGGGATATTCTACCATGACGACGGTGGTGGAGAATACCTTCTACGAGAACGAGAAGTCTGAAGTAGTGGAAAAGGATGAGAAACAAGTGGACGACGAAGTGGAATCCCATCGCACTTTGAAGTCGACGGGTGCCAACAAATCCGGATACAAACAACAGCTGCTTAGTGTCCTGAAAAATGTGAACTTTATGCTGCTACTGGTTTCCTACGGTAAGTTTGTAATGTTGCCATTCCCCTCCATCAGATCCGTTCATTCAGTTTTTTTTGTCTTGAGGTAATGAATTGTACAAAGTGCCCGATCGAGGTGACACTGTTTTCTGGGATACTTTGTTGAAGACACTGGAGTAAACTGAAGTTGTGTGTAGAAAAAAGGCATTCGAATTCCAGGCTTATGTTAGGTTTTACAACTACATGCGCCATTCCTTGAAAACACATCACCTGTAGGGAATTTGTCCGACCGGGGTCACAGCAGGTCACAGCAAATTCCTCATGCTCCATGAGAGCTTCGTGTGTCGAATATTATTCAGTGTAACGGAGATATGGTTGGGTCGCTAGATTCTCAGTCAACTGAGACAAGACAACTGTTGAGGTTTCTACTTTCGAGAAAACATTCACGACAGACTCAACCGAAACTCTTGTTTATGATATTCCACAACTGAATGTGCTGCACACAGGCCACCCCATGATTCAGTTGGCACGATTTTCGAGATATCGCAGTATATTTTCATAGAGGAAACTACTCACAAGTTTGCTAAAAACTCTTCGACAGCCCACGACCGGTTTTGCTCTTCTTGGGGCTCACCAGGTAGACGCAATCCTCGAGTCAACCCTGCGTTCTACTTGA